TCTATGGCAGTTATAGCTTTACAAAATTCTCTATCTTAAGTAATGACTTGAAAGTTGAAATTACTCTGATCCATGGGCTGCAGAATGGATGTCATGTTAGCAGGCATGGAAACAACATGAATTCTCTTACATCTCATCAACCTTTTGGGTGACCAGTTGTATTGTCAATGTGCAGTGATATTTTGATAGGAACTTTTTTTTTTTTCCTGAGCAGTAGATCTCAACAGCAGGTTTAAAAAAATCTGGTAGGCCATGTTGTCAATAGACATGTTTTATTGTTCCATTTATTAAGCACAGATAGAGTAGAATGAGCAGAATTCTTAAGGGCTCCAATATTCTCTGAATAATAAACATGCATTGGCTCAGTTTAAAGTCACCTAGAGCATTAGCCCTTAACAAGAGAGTCAGCCTGTCCTTTGAAGCTTTGGAGCCAGGTACTGACTTGTCCTCTCTAGCTATGGAAGTCCCAGAGGGCATCTTCTTCCACTCTAAGACTATTTTGTCTACATTGAAAACCTGTTGGGTGCAACCACCTTCATTATTGATATGAGCTAGATCTTCTGGGTTACTTGCTGCAGCTTCCACATCGGTACTTGATGCTTCCCCTTGCACTTCGAGGTTATAGAGAAGGCTTCTTTTCTTAAACCTCATGAAACCATCTCTGCGAGCTTTAGACACTTCTGCAGCTTCCTCAGCTCTCTGAGCCTTGACAGAATTGAAGAGAGTTAGAGCCTTGGTCTGGATTAGGGTTTGGTTTAAGGGAATGTCATTTGTTTGATCTTTTATCCATTAAAACTTCCTCTGTATCTACAATAAGGCAGTTTCTTTACTAACCATTCCTGTCTTAACTGGAGTAGCACTTTTAATTTCCTTCAAGAACTCCTTTGCATTCACAAATTGGCTAACTATTTGGCATAAGAAGCCTAGCTTTCAGCCTGTCTGGGCCTTTGGCATGCCTTGTTTACTAAGCTTCATGGTTTCTAGCTTTAGATTTAAAGTGAAAGACTTGAAACTCTTCCTTTCACTTGAATGCTTAGAGGCCATTGTAGAATTAACAATTGGCCTAATTTCAATATTGTTGTGTCTCAGAGAATAGGGAGGCCTGTGGAGAGGGAGAGAGGTGGGGGAACAGATAATGGAGCAATTAAAACAGACACAATGTGTGTGGATTAAGTCGTTATCTTATATGGATACAGTTCATGGTGTCCCAAAACAATTACAATAGTACATCCACAGTCACTGATCACAGATCAACGTAACAAATAATCATGAAAAATTCAAAATATCAAGAGAATCACCAGATGTGACACAGAGACACAAAGTAAGCGTGTGCTGTTGGGAAAATGGTGCTGATACACTTGCTCTATGCAGGGTTGCCACAAACCTTTAATTTGTAAAAACACACTGTAAGTGAAATAAAGTGAAGCACTCATTTTATAATGAGGCCTGATCATAATTTAAAGTTGAAACGTGGTAAATTATCACAATTGTCTATGTAGGTACTCTTCATTTCATTTTGGGACGTTTTGAAACCTTGTCTAATTTCAGTAGTTCTGATATATGTATATATGTAAATAGACATACATACATCCATGCATATATATTCACTGTTCTATATATTCATACATTGAATAGTAAATATATACGAATATAGAATATAAATGGACATTCAATATTCAATGTATGAATATATATTAATATATCTGCATATATTCAATACATGAATATATACATATATTATTGTAGACACTGTATATATACAACATGTTTTTACATATATTCCCTATATGTATGTATGTACGTTTACATATACACATATACTAGAAGCGTGGCTCAGATGGTAAAGAATCTGCCTGCAATGCAGGAGACCCAGGTTCCATCCCTGGAGCAGGGAGATTCTGTGGAAGAGAAAATGGCAACCCACTCCTGTATTCTTGCCTGGAAAATTCCACGGACAGGGGAGTCTGGCGGTTTACAGTCCACCGGGTTGCAAAGAGTTGGACATGACTAAGCACACACGCACACACATATATACACATATAGTCATACTCTATGCTAAATTTGCCCATAATCCCAGGATGAGTCATTTCTGTTATTTTAAAGCTGAGAAAATTAAACTACTTTTGTAAATTGATTAAGTAGCATATTTATTTAGCATCGACTATGTACAACGTACTCTATTAAGCATCATTAAAATCATGAAAATAATTGAGACATTTCCTCTTTTCACCATCAGAGTGGCAAAGAGAGAACTGACCATCACTGGAGGCACTCTGAATTTTAGACTCACACCACATTCTTCTGTTATCACGAGTAGGGCTTCTTCTCCTCTTACTTCAAATGTGGGACGGTCATTGTTCCTCTCCAGATGCTTTATCCTACAGTTACATGTCCCTAGAAAACACAAAGCCCTTGTAGAGTATACTGTCCAGTTTCTCTTCTGCCCTTGCCTTGGTCGAAGGGGGGACAATCAGTAGCTACTGATGCACAGCTGAAAAGGACTGTTTCCAAAAAGTGAATCCAGAGACGAATAGCTGAGTATAAAGGATTCATAGTAACAAGCAACCTGTAGAGACTGTGAGTGTAAATAGGATGGTGAAGAAGCCAGATGGCCAGGGGGGTCACTGGAGCTCAGGAAATGAGGCAGGAAGGCTCATTGATTAGAAGCTCATGGGCCTGTCCAGGGGAGCAGCAGGAAGGCCACTGACTGGGAATATGATGAGTGGGATGATTCAGGAAGCCTGGTGAGTCACTATCGTACCTACCAGTTATCTTTTTCAACTTGAGACAATATCAGCATAAATTATTGATTAACACCTAAGAATAAATGAATAAGATCCTGAACATTTGAATCCATTTATCATTAAAAGGGGCTTCCCTGATGGCTCAGCTGGTGAAGGATCGCCTGCAATGTGGGAGACCTGGGTTTGATCCCTAGGTTGGGAAGATACCCTGGAGGAGGGAAGGCTACCCACTCCAGTATTCTGGCCTGGAGAATTCCATGGACAAAGAGTCAGACATGACTGAGTGACTTTCACACATCTTTAAAGGAATGCAATTGGCCTTCAGAAATTTAATAATATAGAATCTGTTTTAGAAGTTGTGAAAAAAACTTTTAAATTTCTCATAGTACAACAATGCTTATATCATGCTATTTTAAAATTGTTGTATGTTTACTTGAGAAGTTATTTATGACAAAGGTATGTGCACAATAAGATTTGTCCTTTGGAAATTTACTGGCCCAGGATCTATATATCCCTTATAAATAGAAGATAATTGTTTACTATTAATTTAAATATGTATGTATTTTATAGTTTTAAACATAATTACCCAACTATAGATCTAGAAATAGATTGATAAACATACACTGATTTTTTAAAATAAGTTCAGTTCAGTTCAGTTCAATCGCTCAGTCATGTCTGACTCNGTCATCTTCATATCTGAGGTTGTTGATATTTCTCCCGGCATGTATCTCCATATATATCCATATAATATATATCCATCTATCTATATCTATCTACATCAGGATTTCTGTTACAAGGTATACTCATCAGAATTAATGAACTGTTGCTATCCTGAGTATTCTATAAGATATTCTTGTTTAGAAAAAAATGGGAAGTGCTTGCTTTTTTAAAGGGGAGAAGGTTTTTCTTTTGCCTCTTCTTGATATATTATAGGCAATTGTCTACTTCATTAGACAATAATGTCAAATCTGTAATATGTAACAGTAAATGAGTAATATCATTGTGGTATTAATATTATTAATATCCTTGAGGTGACAAAATTTATGGGATATTATATTAGTATCACTTCTTTATGCTGTAATATCTTCCTTAAACAAAATGAGGTTATTCAATCTTTTTAAGGTTGAAATCTATTTTCAATTTTTAAAGTAAAAATAAGCAAGTAAATTTTGTTTTTAAAAATACCAGCAGCTAGCTGGTCAGTGGTTTAATTCATGATAATCTGCAGGTCTCAGAGAACTAAGAATTGATCACAGGATGATTTTGCTGTCAAGATTGTGTTCACATAGTCAACAGTATCACATGATAAACATTTATTGAGTGCCTACTCTGTACATGTAAGTCCTAAGATAGTGNTCTCAGAGAACTAAGAATTGATCACAGGATGATTTTGCTGTCAAGATTGTGTTCACATAGTCAACAGTATCACATGATAAACATTTATTGAGTGCCTACTCTGTACATGTAAGTCCTAAGATAGTGTATCTACACTTTAGAAGCCCAAATCTGAAGATTTTATGAACTTGATATATTTGGGATATTATTCTGGTTTGAACTTTTCATTTTCCCACATATATTTACTTAACAATGCCATGATGAAGTTACTGTGCCATGTTTTATGGTTGATATCACAGTGAGTAAAGGACAGTTCTGCTTCCCCATAGCTTATACATAAATAGGATAAACTGGTTTTTATTATACTTGCAGTGCAAAGCAAATTGTGTCATATAGTATCAGACTCTAAACACAAATATGTGGGGATTCAAAGGAGATCATATCCATTTGAATAGAGCAAGGAATAGTTTAAGGCAGGTTACTTTTAAGTTTGAACTTGATTGATGTAGGATAATGTTTAAGATATGACTATAACATGTATCTCTACTAGACAAAAATATTAATTAGCTATTATAACTAGATATCCTGAAGTTCTTATCCACATTTTCCTTTTCCTTCCCTTACATTTTTCCTACAGAAGTGAAAAAAGAAAGGCCTACTTTTTTTTTTTTTGGTCTACTGTTTTAACATGAGTCAGCACATCATAGAAATGATGATGACAGATTTAAACCTACTATAATTGTTATGGCTGATATTTGCACTGTACTTGGTGCCAGGTGAAGACTTCACTAACCTTTCTTAGTAAATTAATAAGGTAACAGGAGAAAATGGTAAAATTTGTTTCCTTCTCAATGGATTAATTTATAGTTGTCTTTTTTTTTTTTTTAAAGTTCCTAACTAGTGTCTTTCTGTTCCAAGCAGGAGTATAATATGGATTCAGAGCTCAAGGATTATTATAACAAGACATTTGCTGGTGAGAACAATACTGCTTCCATTCGGAATTCTGATTTCCCAGTCTGGGATGACTATAAAAGCAGTGTTGATGACTTGCAGTATTTTTTGATTGGACTCTATACACTTGTAAGTCTTCTTGGTTTTATGGGGAATCTACTTATTTTGATGGCTCTCATGAGGAAGCGAAATCAGAAGACTACAGTCAACTTCCTCATAGGGAACCTGGCCTTCTCCGATATCTTGGTTGTGCTATTCTGCTCACCTTTCACACTGACCTCGGTCTTGCTGGATCAGTGGATGTTTGGCAGGGTCATGTGTCACGTTATGCCTTTCCTTCAATGTGTGACGGTTCTGGTTTCCACTTTAATTTTAATATCCATCGCCATTGTCAGGTATCATATGATAAAACATCCTGTATCTAATCATTTAACGGCTAACCATGGCTATTTCCTGATTGCCACTGTCTGGACACTGGGTTTTGCAATGTGTTCTCCTCTCCCAGTGTTTCACAGCCTCGTGGAACTTCAGGAGACCTTTGGCTCGGCATTGCTGAGCAACAGGTATCTATGTGTCGAGTCATGGCCATCTGATGCATACCGAATTGCTTTCACTATCTCTTTATTGCTTGTTCAGTATATTCTGCCCTTAGTTTGTCTAACTGTAAGTCATACTAGTGTCTGCAGGAGTATAAGCTGTGGATTGTCCAACAAAGAAAACCAACTGGAAGAAAAAGAGATGATCAACTTAACTCTCCATCCTTCCCAAAAGAGTGGGCCCCAAGTGAAGCTCCCCAGCAGCCAGAAGTGGAGCTACTCCTTCATCAGGAAGCACAGAAGGCGGTACAGCAAGAAGACAGCCTGTGTGCTGCCTGCCCCAGCTAGGCTGCCTCTGGAGAACCACCCCGGAAGGCTTCCGGAGCACGCGGGCCCCAGGAAGAGTCCGCTCCCTTCATCCAGTAAGTTCATACCAGGGGTGCCCACCTGCTTTGAGGTGAAACCAGAAGAAAACTCAGATGTTCATGAGATGAGAGTAAACCAGTCTATCATGAGAATAAAAAAGAGATCTCGAAGTGTTTTCTACAGACTGACTATCTTGATAATTGTGTTTGCGGTGAGCTGGATGCCTCTACACCTTTTCCACGTGGTGACCGATTTTAATGATAACCTGATTTCAAACAGACATTTCAAGTTGGTGTATTGCATATGTCACTTGCTAGGCATGATGTCCTGTTGTCTTAATCCAATTCTATATGGATTTCTTAATAATGGGATCAAAGCTGACTTAAGGTCTCTTATACACTGTCTGCATTTGTCATAATTCTCAGTGTTTACTAAGGAGAAAAAAAGTGTGGTGATCACCTAAAATATATTCATAGTAACTATGTATTTATAATCAACAAACTTTGTTAACATGTGGAGTTTATGTATAAGAGCTGTGGATTAGGATGTCAGTTCATAATATATAGAAGATAATTTTAATGTGTTATATAAGATAAATTCATTTAGTTGTATAAAGTCATTGTCAATCCAGTCTGTAATTTCATTTTAAAGAGTATTTATATTACCTTCCATTTCAACTTGTCTATAAACCAATGAATTGTTAGTTCTTGCTTAAAATAAAAATTATATTTAACCATGCAAAAAAAATTGTAGCTTTTTGTTCAAAATTTTGGGTAAAAAAATCTTATTTTTCCTCAGACATTTAATTTCAAATATGAGGAATATTTATTAGTCTTAATCTTTACTTCACAGATTTCTTAATATTTTACTTCTGAAAATACAGAAAAGTTTTAGTATGCCCAACAAACCATAACTAAATGACAGATATATGTTGTTGTTCTTGTTTAGTCACTAAGTCATGCCTGATTCTTTGAGACCACATGCTCCTCTGTCCATGGGATTTCCCATACAAGTATACTGAATGGGTTGCTATTTCATTCTCCAGGGGACCTTCCCGACCCATGGATGGAACCCCATCTCCTGCATTGGCAGGTGGATTCTTTACCACTAAGTCACTAAGGAATTTCCCCTTGGATATAGGCCTAAGTCATAAATTTAATTGCTAACAGTGGGTACAGTTTTGGAACCTCGACAGGAAAATATTTATTTCCTATCATTGATGATTGCTCAAGTTATCAATTTATTCCTCACTATCCTAGCTGTTGTTCAGTCACTAAGTTGTGTCCAGCTCTTTGCAACCCAATAGACTGCTGCATGCCAGGCATATCTGTCTTTCACTACCTCCTGGAGTTTGCTCAAACTCATGTCCATTGAGTCAATGATGCCATCCAACCATCTCATCCTCTGTTGACCCCTTCTCCACCTGCCCTCAATCTTTCCCAGCATCAGGGAAAGGGTTGTGCTTATTTTGCATTTTTCCAGTGAGTCGACTTTTTGTATCAGTTGTCCAAAGTATTGATGGTTCAGCTTCAGCATCAGTCCTTCCAATGAATATTCAGGATTGATTTCCTTTAGGGTTGACTGGTTAGAACTCCTGCTGTCCAAGGGACTCTCAAAAAGCTTCTCCAGCACCACAGTTTGAAAGCATCAATTCTTTAGCACTCAGCCTTCTGTATGGGTCAACTCTCACTTATGTATATGACCACTGCAAAAACCATAGCTTTGACTATATGGACCTTTGTTGGCAAAGTAATGTCTCTGCTTTTTAATACCCTGTCTAGGTTTGTCACAGTTTTTCTTCCAAAGAGCAACCATATTTTAATTTCAGGGCTGCAGTCACCATCTGCAGTGATTTTGGAGCCCAAGAAAATGAAGTCTGACAATGTTTCCATTGTTTCCCCATCTATTTGCCATGAAGTGATGGGACTGATGCCATGATCATAGTTTTTTTAATGTTGGGTTTTAAGTCAGGTTTTTCACTTTTATCTTTCACCATCAGGAAGTTCTTTAGGTTCCTCTTTACTTTCTGCCACTAAGGTGGTATCATCTGCTTATCTGAGGTTATTGATATTTCTAACTGTTGCTTTTTGACCTGCATACAGGTTTCTCAGGAGGCAGGTAAGGTGGTCTGATATTCCCATCTCTTTAAGAATTTTCCACAGTTGTGATCCACACAGTCAAAGGCTTTAAGATAGTCAATGAAGCAAAAGAGAATGTTTCTCTGGATTTCTCTTGCTTTTTCTGTGATCCAGCAGATGTTGGCAATTTGATTTCTGGCTTCTCTGCCTTTACTAAGTCCAATTTGTACATCTGGAAGTTCTCAGTTCATGTACTGTTATAGCATAGCTTGAAGGATTACCTTGCTAGCATGTGAAATGAGCACAGTTGTGCTGCAGTTTGAATATTCCTTAGTATTGCCCTTCTTTGGGGGTTGGAATGAAAACTGACCTTTTGTAGTCCTGTGGCCACTGCTGAGTTTTTCCAAATTTGCTGGCATATTGAGTGTAGCATTTCAATAGCATCACCATTTAGGACTTTAAATAACTCAGCTAGAATTCCATTACCTCCACTACTCTTGTTTATAGTAATGCTTCCTAGTGGTTTTCCCTACTTTCTTCAATTTAAATCTGAATTTTGCAATGAGGAGTTCATGATCTGAGCCACAGTCAGCTTCCAGTCTTGTTCTTCGTGACTGTTTAGAGTTTCTCCATCTTCAGCTGCAAAGAATATAATCAATCTGATTTCAATATTGACCTCTGGTGATGTCCATGTGTAGAGCTATCTCTTGTGTTGTTGGAAGAGGATGTATATTATGATCAGAGCATTCTCTTGGCAAAACTCTGTTAGCCTTTGCCCTGCTTCATTTGTTCTATAAGGCCAAACCTGCCTGTTCCTCCAGATACTTCTTGACTTCCTCCTTTTGCATTCCAGTCCCCTATAATGAAAAGGACATCTACTTTTGGTGTTAGTTCTAGATGGAATTTTAGGTCTTCACAGAGCCATTCTACTTCAGTTTCTTCAGCATTAGTGGTTGGGCCATGGACTTGGATTACTATGATGCTGAATGTACCACTCACATAGCTCACCTAGAAACAAGGCAGCTTGGGGTTTCCAGGGCATTCTCTGTCAATCACTACAAGCCACCCCATCCACACTTGTTATGTCATCTCATGTTGCGACAAAAGACATCTGCTTTTCAGTTCCTTTCTAGGTTTTCTAGCACAAAACTAGGTACAAGCCCTTCTCCTTTAAGCTTCCCTCTAATCTTTCTGGGGTTATATGATTGTCCTAAATTTTGACATGATAGCAGAGAAAACTTTGGTTCACTTTTCTTTTCTCTTTCCTCCTTCTTATTGTACAGTCTTCTGCTTCTTTCTGCCTACTAAGAATGTCCCTTGCTAACAAAATCTTCATTTTTCTGTGTTCTGGGGCTTGTGGTAAAACTATGTACAGAATATCAAGGTTTGTTTTTGGAAAAGAAAGCTTTTGTGATTTAAAATATTTCCCCCAGGACTTCCCTATTGGTCCAGTGGCGCAGACTTTGCCTTCCAGTGAGGGAGTATGAGTTCAACCACTAGCCTCAGATCCCACGTGCCTTGTGACCAAAAAAAGCCAAGAAAATGGAGGCAATATTGTAACATATTCAATAAAGATTTTAAAAATGGCCATTAAAAATAATCTTTAAAAAATTAAAGAAAAAACACTTTCCCTTTTAAATGCCTAAATTCAAGACTATACTGTCACCCCAGACCCAAAACAAAAAGTCTCAGTTTAAGACTGCCCTCTTATTTAAAAGAAATAGCTATTTTCACTTTCATTAGGGCAATCAATTTAACATTAGTGTCCAAAGGGGGAAGATTCGCTGATAAGGACAAACCTAAAAAGATAGGAAAGTATTTTATCCTGTTCAGTTCAGTTCAGTCACTCAGTCATGTCCTACTTTGTGACCCTATGGACTGCAGCACACCAGGCCTCCCTGTCCATCACCAACTCCAGGAGTTTATTGAAACTCATGTCCATTGAGTCAGTGATGCCATCCAGCCATCTCATCCTCTGTCGTCCCCTTCTCCTCCCAACTTCAATCTTTCCCAGCATCAGGGTCTTTTCCAATGAGTCAGTTTAGTGATGGGACCAGATGCCATGATCTTAGTTTTCTGAATGTTGAGTTTAAGCCAACTTTTTCACTTTCCTCATTCACTTTCATCAAGAGACTCTTTAGTTCATCTTCACTTTGTGCCATAAGAGTGGGTTTATCCTGTTAGAGTAACTTATTTAGCAAATGTACAATAATCAGTCAAACCACAGATTTTATGGTTCCTAATAGATGAGTTTAGTTAAACAGGATTAACTAATTTAATCTTAATCTATTGAAGCTCTTAAACTATTGAACTCTAAGGAAGCCATTTATCTTCCCTAACCAGAAATGACTGAATGTTCTTAATAATTGAAAGTTGAGAAGTTTGAATGGATTAGTAGATAGAAGTCATTAAGAGGAGGATTAATGGTTTTAGAAGGCATTGTGAATAATAATTCCCTCCATGGAGAGTTGCTTAGTGAAATAAACTACTCAGTTTATCTCAGATAAACTCAGATGTCAGACTACTCCGTCTACTCTCAATTGCTCAAGAGTTGGTTATCTTTTCTTCCTTTTCTCTCCTGGTGTTTGACTTGATTGCCTCTTTTTTAACACCTCCACAAAGAAAACATGGCTAAAATAAATGGAGATGAAATTAGCAACATCACCCTCACTAAATTTTAACAATAATTTTAAATTATTCAATTAAGAAAAATATGGTAAATTAAATTTTAATGATTATTTAAATTTTCCTGCTAGATCTGTTGCCCATTATTGTGGATAATAAAACACTAAAGGGGGGGGGAAGCTGAGGAATGCACAAGTGAAGTTGCTCAGTCATGTGCAACTCTTTGTGATCCCATGGACTGTAGCCTACCAGGTTGCTCCATCCATGGAATTTTCCAGGCAAGAGTACTGGAGAGAGTTTCCATTTCCTTCTCCAGTGGATCTTCACAATCCAGGATTGAACCCAGGTGTCCTGCATTGGAGGCAGACACTTTACGGTCTGAGCCACCAGGGAAGCCCAAAGAGCAAAAGCCCAAAGGCAAATGCACAAAGAGCATCTAAAATTGTTAACTGATGAAGAAACATGTATGAGGATGATTCTATTCAGATATTTATGGAGTACCTGCTGTCTACCAAGACCTCTTCTAGGTATTTGGAATACAGCAATGAGAAAGATCCCTTCTGGTCTGATGTTTGCCTTCTGGTGAGGAGGGAGGGAGAACCAGTGGATTGATATAGATCATTAGTAAGCAATATGAACAATAAAAGGTGAATTATATAGTAATGATATAATATATAGATAGATGTATTCATTTCCTAGTATGTCTTAATAAAGTACCACAAGCTGGGTGTCCTAAAACAGAAGAAACTTATTGTCTGACAGTTCTGAAGACTAAAAATGTGAAATCAATGTGTCTGCTCCAGTGAAAGTTATGAATTCTCCTTGTCTCTTCCCACTTTTGACTGTTAGTCAGCAGTCTTTGATGGTCCTTGCTGGTGGACTACATCATAGAACTAAAATCATGGCATCAAGTCCCATCACTTCATGACAAATAGGAAAAAAGTGGAAGCACTGACAGGTTTTATTTTCTTGGGCTCCAAAATCACTACAGACAGTGATTGCAGCCATGAAATTAGCTTTTTTTTGTGGGTAC